AGTGGCCCTTCAGAAAGCTCTTTTATATTACGAGAGCATCCACGGGAGGCCAGTGAGTATGCAATTCTTCAAAAAAGTGCAATAAGTTCACCTTCTTAAGGTTAAGAACTTATTGTCTACATACGTTGAAGTTGATTTCAATGTCTTTTTGTCACACTTCCTAGATCACCAAGAACGAGAGGCAGGCCATGAAGCCTCTATACGACCGGTACCGACTCATCAAACAGATTCTCTGCAGAGCATCTGCCATTCCAGTCATTGTAAGTTCAGTTTTTCCAACATTTTTCTTGCTTTCCCTCTCCATTGTAGCCTTGTGTCCCATTTCAGTTTCTCCATTTGCTGGAGAAATCGTTCAAGTAGGAGTTCACTGGTACAGCAGGAGTGTCCAATCCTGCTTCTGGAGGGCCACTGTCCTTCAGAGTTTAGTCTAATCTCAAACACTTTGAACCAGCCAGGTCTTCGGGATTACTAGAAAACTTCCAGGTAGTTGTTTTGGGATAGTTTGGAGCAAAATTCTGCAGGCCCTCAAGGAGCAGGACTGAACTCCCCTGGTTTACAGTTCCAATTCCTGTGTTCCAAAACCTAGTGAGCTACATGCACTCCCAATGTTGAAGGCTGTTGCAAAAGATTCTGCCTTCAAAGTTACATCACTTTGGCCATATTTACAGTAGCCCCTCACTGCAGAACAAAGATCCAGGGGGCGGGGTTGGATCCACATCTAGGGGGTGGAGATGGTAGGTTTAGGGGTGGAGATGGGTGGGTTTAGGGATCAGGGGTGGAGACGGGTAGGTTTAGGTATATGTAAGGTGGGAGGAGTTGGATCTGGATCCAACCTCGCCCCCTGGATCTTGTGTTCTGCAGTGAGGACCATCTCCATATTTAAGCCAGCATGATTCCTTCACCGATAAGGTAATTCCAGAATGCAATGCAGCAAGATGGCTGACTACTCAAGAGAAATTTAATTCAGTATTATAAAGTATTAATAAAAAATAAATTGGTTATTTTACCTAATACTTGTGCGTACTATGTATATGCATTCTTATTCGAATGTGGGTAATCTTAGCAACACGCTAACATCATAGCCTGTTGAAACCATTACGAGTCTCTTGCATTTGTGTGCCATATGTGAGTTTGCTGCCTACGTAGAGTATTCCAAATCAGTCACTTGAGAGTTCCATGACAGAGTTGCTGCCCATGCAGGAAGTTGGCAGTGAGGCAGCTCTCTAAGTTTTGGAAAAAAAAGCTAATACTTATCTGATGCATAAGCTAGTGTTATTGTATTAAAGGCTAGCTAGCTGCCATTTCTACTTTATTCTTGAACTAAACCGTATGGATAAATCTCCATGATATTAGTAGAAGAAATAGCATTAGCAGTAGCACAATATAAGCATGTAGCTGTAGTATTGATGCGGTGGCAGTGCCGGGGCTCGTTAGCATCACTAAGCCCGTCTTTAGCAAGAGCTCAAGAGTAGCTCACTGAGGTCATATCCTGTAGCTGGATATTTGCAACAGTATTCCTTATAATTCCTAAGTCTCTTACACACATACTCCTAAAAGTACTCCAAAGCATTAAACAGCCACTCTGGTCATATTCCCACACCGCTGATATAATATTTCCCCCTGCTCAATACAGTATGATATGCATGTGAAATACAACAAAAACATCCAAGCACTCGTAAATTAGCTGTAGCTCCTCCATTTTTTAGTTAATGATATGCTGCTCCAGTGAAATATTTGGTTAGCATCAGTTAGCAGAGCCATATGCCCTAAAACAGTGGTTCCCAATTCCGGAGGACCCTCAACACTGCACATATTAGATGTCTTCTATTCAAACACACCTGATTCAACTCATCAGCTCATTAGTAAAGACTCCAAGACCTCAAATGTGTTTTTCAGATAAGAGAGACATCAAAAACTTGCAATGTTGGGGGTTCTTCAGGATCAGGATTGGGAACTACTGCCCTAAAACATAGGTCCCTGGTCCCTTGTAGTCCATTAGTGAGTCCTGCCCTGAGTGGGCTGATGTGTAGTTTACTGGGTTGTAATGTCACTATTAACACCACCACAGGGCTCGCCTTCCAGCAAGCACAGAGGCCCCCTGCTGCAGCCCATTATCGAGGGTGTACCAGCCCTATTCTTCAGCGACACCAAGGTGAAGAGCTGCTACTGCTCAACCAACCATTGATTCGGCTGACCCACCTCCTTCTCCCCACTAGTTTCCTCATTAACTTAATCATGAATCAGTAACTGCATGGGAGTGCTGTGAGATTCGACTCCTGCTGATTCCATTGCCTTTTGATCACACCCTTGTTGGGTTTTGTATTAAAGAAAAACTCAAATCGGTAACTCATGTAAGTCAGTGCACCAAATGATCCAGTTGGAATGAATATAATTTACTGCACTGCTGGAGCTCTGATTCTTTTCATTTGTACTAACACTTGTCACGACAGAGGCTTGATGCACAATGATTGCTAAATGTCAATGAGATTTGCCTTCAAAATCAATGTTACGCTTGATTCTGCTCAGTCATGCTGGTATAAACTCTCAGAGTTAAGCTGCAATCCAACTAACCATCGCCATCTGCTCTTTTTCCAGGAGGAGGAGGACGGCTCGGACGATGACAGTGATACCAGGACACAGTTCACGGTCACGGTTAAGCCAGAACTGACCATGTTGGAACTTCTCGACCAGCTGGATGAGGACACAGATGGTTTCATCTCCCCTGTTGATGAACTATCGCCCTCCAAGAACACCACAGACATGAGATTGTCCAATTTGCATGCTGCTACCATGCAAGTATAAGGTTTAGAATAGAAACCTATGTCTTAGGGTGCTGACACACAAGATCGTGTTTTGAGGTCCATTTTGAAGATAGATAGAAATCAAGTAGGAATATGCCAGATCTCTAATGACCAGGTCTCTCTCAAAAAAGAGACTAACCTGGGCTGTTTCCCACAAGCATCGTAAACCAAAGTAGATCGTAGAGACCATTGGTTCCAATGGTTTCTACAATCTATTTATGCTTAAGATAATTTTTTTTAAACACAGCCCTGGTAAACTAAAGGTGTAAAATGTTCTCAACCTTTGGTTGTGCGATGTAGCGTCACTTTTCGTACCCTTTGAAACCAATGAATATGCGATGATCTCTGACCTACAACTCTAGTGTGTAAGCACCCCTATAGATCTTTCACTTTTCTTGTATTCATATAATCCATCTTTTGTGGAGCTACAAGGCCATTTATATAATAGGCTAAAAGTATTTTGTAAGTTTAAAAAAGCGAAATGTTCAGTAATATGTGCCAACCACTGAAACCTCAAATTATTGTATTGTTGCTGTGGTGGGTAGAAAGAATCTCAAAACTCTCCACTCCTTCTTAACCAAACACACAGGCAGGAACTCGTGGAGCAACTCCAGGAAGCCCGTGAAGAAAAGAAAAGAATCCGCAAAAACCTCCGTGATTTTGAGGATCAGTTCTTCAAACAGAACAGCAGGTAACGAAAACTTCCACAATATGATTTTTAAAAGGTTTACATGCTTGTTCTTAGAATTGTACATTTTCATAAGCTTAAATCTGTCTCTACAGAGAGAAACAAAATCTTGTTACTGAATGCTCTACTTTTGCTGTTCCCATAGAAACGTGCAAAAGGAAGATCGCTCACCCTTGGCTGGAGAATACAATGAATACAAGCACATTAAGGCCAAGCTAAGGCTGTTGGAAGTGCTCATCAGTAAAAGAGACTCTTCTAAGTTCATCTAGTGCTCAGCTGGGATTTACTTTACTAACCAAACAAGGACCAGCCATTGCTATCCAAAGCAATATAATGTGTACAAAGACATGTTCCTCTCTGTTATTGACTCATTACAGGCACATTTGGCTTTGAAGGAAGCCCAGACATGCCTAGTTCACCTTTAGCAGATGTACAGTGCTGTTTGTTCCACTGTACAGCAAAAAGGACTTGTGTTCTGCTTTGGACTGCTTTTTTTTGCATCTGCTATGAGACTGGATTTCAGAAAACAATCAATTACTTGTGAATCTCTGATCTTAATTCCCATTGAAGTCCAGAAGAACATTTCTGTTATGTTATGTTGTATTATACGACATTTCGTTTCAAATTTTAGATTTTTTTCTACATTAATACTGCTGTAATATAGAAACAACTGTTTTCGCAATCAGACATAAGCTTTGAAGAACATTGAGATAATGCGTCTTAAATTGTCTGTGTATAGAGATGAGGAGAGTTTATCATTATAGGAATTTGTCGTATTTGATGAATTGAAGAATGTAATTTGTGGAAGGAAGGCTCTCTGTATATTAGTTTTCATTATTTACTGGTGCCATAATTGTTTATTTTGAACATTAATGCTTCTGAGAAATCCCCCCCACACCACTAAGACCATTGACTAAGCTATAATTTACTTCAGTTATTTTCTTTACGAAAGAAAAAAATGTGCAAATGAACGACCATAAGAAATCTGCCATTCTCTAATGTAGAAACGCACAAACAAAGGTACTATAATCCAGCTTTCATTGTTCTTTTTGTAGTGTTTTTTTTGTACTCTAGTGTCTAACTGGTCATCAAATGAAACTCACTATTTAACAGTGATGTGGGTGGATTGAATCCTCAAAACCATCTCTATTGTTAGCGAGCAATAGAAAACAAAACTGTGGGGCCTCACTGAGCGTTTATGCCTCGTGAACGCAGACACAAACAGAGCGAGCACATCACCCCTATCTCTTATTCTCCAGATTGGAAAATTTTATTGTGACCTTTGTTTTTACTGAACATGACAAGACTGATGGATAAAGATGAATACTGTGTGTACATTTTAGTACATGATTGTATTTGTATTTTGTATATATGATATAAAACCAAACTATTTTTTCTGAATATACTGGTGTTGGGTTTTCATTTTGATGCCATTTAGTGCAAGAAAATGCCATGACGTTTGATAATACTTAATCTGAGGTGAAATAATTTTATTGTTCTGGAAAAAAATAGATAAAACAATATATTCCATTTGAAAGCTATAAAAGTAAATATACTTTACTAAAATAACAATGCATCAGTAGCCACTAAGAAGCCCTTGTTTGCATACATTGACAGAAAGGAATAAGTTGGATAGAAACACTTCTTTATATGGCCTTCCATCAAGTACAAACAAATACATCTCATGCAGCTAGATGCAAAACACCACAGGCCACAGCAAACAACTCACTGTGGTCCCTGACAGTCCTGTACCATCCACCATATCGGAAAACCACAAAGCTAAGTCACTCTGATCCAGTTTTAATAACAACCTAACATTAATGCTCCACTCAGAAAGAAAATGCGAGTAGAAAACAAAATCCCCTTTACAGCATATGACCTTCCTGTGAAACAACAGGAGGGATTAAATTGAAAGCGGCAATGGATTGACCGGAAGAAGAACACAGCTGTTAGAATATTCACATTTGTTGGATTAAAACATAATTAAAATCCCATAACTAGTACACGTACATCAACCAGTAGTTATTGCTGGATTTGTTCCTCAATGAAATCTCAACTGATGTCACTTTAAGAGAAATATCAGATTTTTCCCCCATAGTTAATTAAAATATTTCAAAAAAGCAGCTTCAGCGTTCAACCTGGGCATGGCATGCTCATGCATGCCTATGATTAATAGAAGACATTTTTATGCTAATGGCTTGCTACTGTACATTAAAGGAAAACCAGTGAAACGGATTCAGGAGGAGTGAAAATGCGTAACATCTGATCTGAGCACAGACCGAACTGGAAAGCTCAGAAACAAAAGAGATTATTCATCAAGTTAAATCCCTTTAATGTATTGCAGAGGTGTCCAATCCCGTTGCTGGAGGGCCACTGTTCTGTAGAGTTTAACCCCAACCGTAGTTGAATGAAAACCCGAATCAAGGTAATCAAGGTCTTCAGGATTACTAGAATCTTCCAGGCAGGTATGTTGGGACAAGTTGGAGCTAAACTCTGCAGGACATTAGCCCTCCAGGACCAGGATTGGGCATCCCAAATGTATTGGGCCTGAAACTGTCTGTCCGGTATACCGTGCTGATGGGGCTGTTACTTTTACTGTCTTCATCCCGGACGAGCCCCCGATTTGTAGGGTTGCGATGGCTCTTTCTGAATGGGATTAAACACCTAGCTATAGTCAATAATGAGTGATTGATTGGCGTTTCATATGCTTTAACTATTAAATTTGTTCCCAAATTTTTTTACTTCCTTCCAGAAATTCAAAATAGCAAAATAACAGGGGCGTCCTATCTTGCTCCTGGAGAAAAGTTGAGTTCTGTTCCAACACACACTTGATCTGAAGACCTAAATTAGCTGGCTCAGGTGTGTTTAATTACGGCTGGAGCTAAACTCTGCTAAACAGTGGCCTTCCAGGAACAGGTTTGGACATGCCTAACAAAATAACGTGGTCTAGGCAAGAGCAACCCATCGGTTTTAAAATCTGATTCAAAAACAGTAACATTTACAAAATATATAAAGAAAATCAAATGAATTTATTTTTTGCCAACTCAATCCTAATCTTATTATTTACTTTTGTCATTTAAAAAATATAAATTTTTATAACCAAAAAGAAAGCAAAAAAAGAAAAAAAAACTGCACATCTCAAGATTCAACCAAATTAGCAAGTCAGAGTCCGTCTGTAAAAATAAGAAAATAATATATTTACTCATAAGAGATTCAGGATGTGCTCATCTGTGGTAAAATAAACGCGAGAGCAGCATTCGTTTCCATTTCTCCACAGGTTTAAAGTGCAGTGTCAGCATACAGAAAGCCACCTCTGTAGATCCTGCTCAGACCAGACTGAAGCCCTCGTACTGCTCCACGGCTTGCGTGAGCCGGTGCCGCAGGGTCTCTTTGGTCTGGTAGCAGGGCATGTCCAGCATGTTATAGCAGGTGTGGGCCACAGGAAGGTAGTGCTCTTCCACAGCAGTGGATTGGATGACGATGCGTAGACTGGCCATGCCGTGGATGGGGATGCGGTCACTGCCTGTCAAAAACACTGTGGGAAGACAAAAACACTCATTTGGTCTGCGTTGTAAAGGCGCAGTTGCATTGGCGCAAAGAAGGTTCATAGTCCAATAGTGTAATGATGCGGAAAGCACCACTCACACAGAATTCACAGAATATCAGTGTTGCCAAGTCTGAACTGGGCTACTTTTACACTGTTGCTGCAGGTTAAAGCGATCTCCACCCCCTGGAATGTGTCAAATTTTGACAGAGGGAATCCCCGACAGAGGGGAAAACTGCAAAAAAAAAATGTGATTGTGATTGAGTTTTATACAGCAGTTGAGCTAGATTTGTTTCGCAGACCTGGCAACCCTGCAGCACATCAAAGCAAGCAGCATTCTGTGAAAAACTTGGTGTTGGTGCAAAATCTGCATGGGGGAATGTTTCTCCCTTATGTGAAATTCCCAATTGTGCGGATTCGTTTTAAAATGACTGGATGTTAAATGTTACCACACATTAAGTTATGTATTTATCAGTTTACATTAACATAGTCATTTTATTTTTTGATTGCCCTATAAAATTTATCAACAAATACAAATACCTCAACAAATACTTTTTTTTCTTCATATGGTGACAAAACCAAGGTTATCGTTAACTGAAACAAAAACTATTAATAACATTGAATTATATATTTTATATATAAATATATATAACAAAAAAAAACTAATTAGAAATGTTGCAACTAACTGAAATACATTGGAAGCACTAAAATTACTGGAAATTAATTAAACTAAACTAAGCTAAAACTAAAAACAAATTAAATCTAAATAGTTATATTAAAAAATAATACAAATGACAAAAGCACATCAAATTGCTAAAAGATGAAACTAAAATTAAAATGAAAACTAAAATATAATGATAAAATTCAAAATATGAATAAAATTGTAACCGCATATAAATAATACGAAAATAACACTGGCCAAAACCTCACTGACCGATAAATTAAGCTCTAGGGTCCCAAGCCTCATTTCATAGTACAGAGCAACAGCTGATGCTAATGAATCAAAATCTATTTTGACAGCCAACACCAAAAGAGCAATCTTGTTTAGAAGAGCCATAGTAAACTCTTCTGCACGGCTGGTACTAATGGAATCAATGCAAACCTTCAGCTAAGTTGTTTTATAGTTGTTTGCAAACTTTAAGTAGTGTTTGGATTTCTTCAAACTCCCCTCTGCAGTTTATAGAGAATGGCAGACCAGAGGTGCACAATATATAGTTCTGGTGTACATTTCAATTTCATTCAGCCCAATAAATAAAAAAATTGTGTTTTGCTTTATATTTTTGTTTCACTTTTGGTTTGAGCAGGTCTTTGGCTCTAGCTTTATATTCAGAAAGTTTTATATAACATATTCAATAGTACCAACCATTACACTGTTGTCTCTCACTTACATAAAAACTGTTTCTTTTTCTCCAAGGGAAATTCATGAAACACCTCCCAAAACTTCTTAACTGTTGGGTGGGATGCAGAGAACTCGCCCTTGTAGGAGGCATTCTGGGGGGGGAAAAAAAAGATACAAAGCCATGAAAAACACAAGGCAGAGTCTAAATAAAATTGTAAAGCACAGCTGTATGAAACGTGTCCC